CCTTTCTTTCCCCGCCTCCCCCTTGCTGCCTCTTTCTGGCAAGACTAGAACTGCTTGAATACCCCGTTGGCCTATGCTCCCCACAGAGCTTTCACCTGTTGCTACACTTCAAAAGCGGAGGCGCCTTTATCAACTAATTGAATAGTCAATGCAAATTATATTGACTATTCGATTAGCCAGTTAATCTAAATTTAACATCCTTATACCAAACTGCCTTGTTTTCATTTCCTCCATATCCTTAATTAGTAAATCCAGGAGGGTTTCTTTGGTTAGATTATTTTCATATTGGATCATTCTTTTGTGTGTGTAATCTGGGGACATTTCTGATGCCTGTATGGTTGTAGTGGTTACCTACCGTAAGTCCTGGGAAAGTCTTCAGGAATATAGTATTTCATGGGTTTCAGTTACTTCAAGAAGTTTTGCTTCTCTCTGTCCTTCGTTCTTGGATGTTAGTAGTAAATGCCTGTTGCAGTTGCTGTTTTGCTATAGTCTTTGTTCCTTTATCTTCACTGCTTTCCCACCGGTGTTCCCTCTGTTTTTTTCCATCCATGTGCAGAATAAACTTCGTTATGTGCACCAAAACATGTGTGTATGTGAACCACTAGTTGAAACACATGCTGCTGGCTGTGGACCGCCCACTAATCAGCTGGGTGGCATTTGAATCTCTGGTGGCTGCCCAAGTGTTCAGCGTACTGAGAATATTGTTTTCCCCGGTATCTGTGTGGCAGTGTTAATGTTACCACCTATGGCTTCATCCTCCTATGTCCTTTCTGTCTTTTCTATCTAGGTTGAACTCATCTGTGTTGTACTCAGCTAAACTATTCCATTTCCCTCTCAGGAAGGTGCTAAGAGAGTTGATTTAACTATTGCCTTTCACAGTGTAGTTGGTATTTTTCCATAGTGAGCTGTGCAAGCTGACACATAGGGGAAGAAAGTTAACTATGGGTCACTCATTGCTAAAATTACTGACACTTAGGTCCACTATGACGGGTATTTAAGGTGTAAGAGACTTTATCTGACATGTAATTTAAATAAATCGCTAGCTAGCAGTGTCAGGAAATATATCCTGCTCCCCTCTCAATTTCATTTGGAGTCCCTCACGAGGAAGAAAAACGCTCAAAAACTTACTTGTGTCAGTCAAAAACTTAATCCTCTAGTTGTGACATTTATTATTCTGGGACTATTTTTTTGCGGGAGTAGAGGAGATTTGAATAACTCAGTTAAATGACTAAATCCATTCCTAAAGCACAATGGAAGTAGGAGAAAGTTTGGAAGTGTGGGTGTATCCTGTGCTTTGCATAGATGAATACATTAATATTTGTTGCCTTGTTTTCCTCTCCCCTTTCTTGTTTTATGCTGAAGAGGTCATTGTGGTTACAACCAAAGAAGTCCAGAAGATGCTTAATCTAGACACAAAGATGAAGTTGGATATAGTGTGCATCCCTGATGATGCAGACATGGGTACTGCAGACTCACTGAGGCACATTCATTCAAAAATTAAGGTACAGCTCTTTTACCTTGGTTAATAGACATTTCCTTGAAGATTTTTCCTTTCATGTGTGATTTAAAATCTTAGCAGTTCTTTAGATCTCCTAGGCTACGTCTAGATTACATCCCTTTTTCGTAAAAGGGATGCAAATTAGACACATCGCAATTGCAAATGAAGTGGGGATATTAATCCCCCCCACTTCATTTGCATAAACATGGCTGCCGCTTTTTTCCGGCTCGGAGCTTTGCCGGAAAAAAGCGCCAGTCTAGACGTGGATCTTTTGGAAAATAAAGCCTTTTCCGAAAGATCCCTCATTCCTTATTTTAAGAGGAATAAGGGATCTTTCGGAAAAGGCTTTATTTTCCGAAAGATCCCAGTCTAGACTGGGGCTTTTTTCTGGCAAAGCTCCGAGCCGGAAAAAAGCGGCAGCCATGTTTATGCAAATGAAGCGGGGGGGATTTAAATCCCCGCTTCATTTGCAATTGCGTTGTGTGTAATTTGCATCCCTTTTACGGAAAAGGGATGCAGTCTAGACACAGCCCTACTGTGTAATGTTATGACTGTCTGTACTTGTGTGTCATAAAGTTCTCTCAACAATGGGCCATGATCTTGGGTGGGGCCTTTAGATGCTATTATAATACAAATAGCATGCAAATTATTTAATTTCAAACTACAGAAGTAAGGAAATTCTGAGAGATGGTTGAAATTGTCTGTTACATCTGCTTATTTCTGGGTGTACAATCTATCTGGAGCTCACTCCAATAACACGGCACGTGGTATAAGCTGGAACAGAATTTCAGCTTCATTACTGAATTTGCTTTTGTGGATGGAAGTCAGATGCTCAATGTATCTGGTTGTTTTGCACTGCCGCATCCCTGCTTTTTCATTAATTTCCTTGCTGACTCCTGTGGGAAACGCTCTTATGCTTCCAATAGAAGGCCTATGGACTGTTTCAGAGATTTCAGGGTTTTTTTTTTTTTTTTGGTCTCCAAATACAATATTGGAAGAAAAAAAAAAATCCAAATATAAGCAGAGACGTCTCCCTTTTCTGTACAGACGCCCACAAAGACAAGATGAGACTCTAGGGGCTGCGTCTAGACTGGCAAGATTTTCCGCAAAAGCAGGTGCTTTTGTGGAGAAACTTGCCAGCTGTCTCCACTGGCCGCTTGAATTTCCGCAAGAACACTGACAATCTCATGTAAGATTGTCAGTGTTGTTGTGGAAATGCTATGCTGCTCCCGTTCGGGCAAAAGCCCTTTCGCACAAATGCTTTTGTGCAAGAGGACCAATGTAGACAACGTGGTATTGTTTTGTGCAAAAAAGCCCCGATTGCCATTTTCGCCAGTCGGGGCTTTCTTGTGCAAAACCGCGTCTAGATTGGCACGGACGCTTTTCCACAAAAAGTGTTTTTGCGCAAAAGCATCCGTGCCAATCTAGACGCTCTTTTCTGCAAATGCTTTTAACAGAAAAACTTTTCTGTTAAAAGCATTTGCGGAAAATCATGCCAGTCTAGACGTAGCCTAAGGGTCTGTGTCTCGACTGTTGGGTTTTTTGACAAAAGTTGGCTTTTGTCAACAAAACTATACCTGCGTCCACACTACCACAGTAAGTCGACAGAATGTGGCAGATTTGTTGACAGTGGTAAACCTCATTTTATGAGGAATAATGCCTTTTTTTGAAAGTACTCTTTCGAAAAAAGGCGCTATTGCATGGAAACTGTACTTGTTCGAAAGAGAGCGTCTAGACTCTTTTGAAAAAGCGGCTTACTTTTTTGACAATACTGACCGTAGTCTAGATGCTCTTTTTTAACAGATGCTTTGTCGATAGTATCTGTTGACAAAGCCTTTTGAAAAAGGCATGCAGTCTAGATGTAGCCGAAGGGTGTATTTAAACAGCAAAGAAAAACTTGCAGTGGGCTCATGCCCCCTGACGCTGGCTCACGGGGACTGTGCGACTGTTTCATTGCTAGGTAGACCCCCAAGGTCCCAGGCTGAGCTCGGAAATCTACACAGAAATGAAAAAATGCATGCATGTGCCGGCCACTGATTTTTCTTTGCTGTGTAGAGATACTCATACGGGGCAAACCTGTTCTCTATACACGGGCTACGTCTACACTGGCACACTTTTCCGGAAATGCTTAAAACAGAATAGTTTTCCGTTATAAGTATTTCTGGAAAAAGATCGTCTACATTGGCAGGATGCTTTTCCGGAAAAGCCCTTTTTCCGGAAAAGCGTCCGTGGCCAATGTAGACGTGCTTTTCCGGAAAAGAGCCCCAATTGTCATTTTCGCGATCGGGGCTTTTTTCCGGAAAAGACTACTGTGCTGTCTACACTGGCCCTTTTCCGGAACAGTTTTCCGGAAAAAGGACTTTTGCCCGAGCAAGAGCAGCATAGTTTTTCCGGAAAAGCAGCTGATTTCTTACAGTAGATCGTCAGTGCTTTTCTGGAAATTCAAGGGGCCAGTGTAGACAGCTCGCAGCTTATTCCGGAAAAGCAGCCGCTTTTCCGGAATAAGTGGCCCAGTGTAGACACAGCCAGGGAGTCATGTGGCAACGGTGATTCACAAGGTGAGCATACTGAACACAGTAATTCCAAGAGCCCGAGCTGTGGTGCAAAGAGGGCTGAGGAGCACGTCACTGTTCCAAGCTGTTAGGTGGTGACTGCAGTACTAGAGCAGCGGTCCTGCCTCACCAGTTGTCCTGGCTGGCTGGGTCTGTCACTAATCATTTAGGCATCTCGTTTTTTGGCCATGCTCACAGCTCTCTTGGAAACTGACGAGACAGCAGTGAAGAAGCTAAGGGGGGGGGGGAGGAGTAGACAACGACCTCTTGCTTTAGTGGAAGTGTGTTTTCCAGAGCCAAAAGAAGGTCCAGAGAAAAATTGAGGGCGAGACTTGGAAGCAGCATGAGGCTTTGCTATAGTAAATGTTTGCAATATGTGAACGTTTTGGCAGCCGCTTACATTTCTGTCTGCTCCCCATCTTTGTTTGCCCAGCAAAGATGGAAACAGTGTCCTCTGACTGCAAATAATTTGGCACTGCATTCTGGAGCAGATTGCTGCATGGTGCATATTTTGGAGCAATCCCACCAGTTAATGAATACCATTAGTGTACCTCTTACGGGATGTGTCATCTCCTGTCTGGCATAGGGGTGAGAACTGCGCAGTGGAGGAAGCTGAGACATTGCTGAGTTGGTTGGAGGATCTGCAGTTTCCTTGCTGATCCAATTGATGCCTGAGGCCTCAATTTAGTGGCAGCCTTATCCCGGCCATTGCCAAAAGCTGATGAAAAGTCTGTCCTGGCTGTTGACATTTGCGTTTGTCACAAATTGAGTTAATCACCCGCCAACAGAAGAACCAATCTATTTTATTTCATAAAAGTGAGGTAACGCTCTAGACAATTTGCCCGTGTTTAGTGTGAGGGAGAGTGAAACCAAAATTCTAAGATACAGTTAGAAATAACCCTCAGGCCAGTTCAGTGTGTGACGCAAAGCTTGATGCAGTAGGAATCCGTATTCAACCGCTGGAGATAACGAAATGCATGTGACTTGTTCTCCTGGCCAGGGGGCCACGCTGCTGTGACCCACTTGCTCAGCACACAGCTGAGCTTCCACTACTTTGCATTCGCGGCTAGGATTCCATGTACCTTCTTGGTTTTGCAGAGACTAGATGTGTCTCTCAATATTTGCCCAGAAACTTTGTACGCTGCGGTGCTATTAGCTGCTCCCCTTGTGCAGGTGGTTTACATGGCGTGCTGGGAGAGGTCTCTTCCAGTGCTCGTGCCATGGCCACACTTTCAGTTTTCAGTTTAAAGCCGCGCTTTAAAGTTTTAAGTGTGGACAAAGCTGGAGACCAGAGCGCTCTGTGTATCTGGCTTTGTCACTGTGGCACTCGCATACCGCAGTCTGGAATGCACTTGTCTTTACAACAGCCCTGTGAAGCAGTCTCATCCCTGCTTCACTGAGGAGGAGCTGAGAGACCTGTCCAAAGTCTCAGAGGGCTCATCTAGACTACAGGGAATGGGCGAAAGAAGATTCCACGGGAATTTGCATATCTTCTTCCAATCGCACTTTCGAAAGCAGAGCATTCAAAAATGAAAGTAATTAAGACACGGCTTTTTCGGTGACCCCCCCCAGTTGAAAAGCCGCGTAAAACTCATTTTTTGGCGGCTTTTCGACGAAGGGGGCGGTTCGCTGAAAAAGCCGTGTCTTAATTACTTTAACTTTCGAAAGCTTTGCTTTCAAAAGTGCGATCAGAAGAAGATATTCAAATTCCCATGGAATTTGCATATCTTCTTTCAACCATTCCGCATAGTCTAGATGAGCCCAGAGGCATTGAACCTGGGTCTCCCAAGCCCTAACCACTGGACCATATATTCCCTTCACCTTGTTACAGGGCTAGCCTTGATTATTTAAACACAAGACAAATCTCACAGTTGGGAGCAGCAAGCAGCTGGCTCCCCTTGTTTTGGGCTCTGTTTCTTGGTGGTTGAAATGAACGAGAACAAAACAAATGTGCACAAAATCTCCTCAAACAAAAAACAGGACTAGGTAGCACTTTAAAGACTAACAAGATGGTTTACTAGGTGATGAGCTTTCGTGGGCCAGACCCACTTCCTCAGATCAAATTGTAGAAGAAAATAGGCATGTCCATATATACCAAAGGGATACAATCAAAAAAGTGAACACACACAAAAAGGACAAATCAAATTTCAGAACAGAGGGGGGGGGAGCAGAGGAGGTTAATGTCTGTGAGCTAATGATATTAGAGGTGATAATTGGGGAAGCGGGGTAAATGTCTGAGCTAATGATATTAGAGGTGATAATTGGGGCAGCTACCTTTGTAATGGGTAAGGTAACTAGTGTCTTTGTTAAGACCTACGTGTAAAGTCACTATTTAAATCTCCTCAGTCACCATTTTACCTGCTTTACACCCTCTGCCTTTGTCTGGCAGCTTGGTGTGTCTGCTTTGAGATTTGACTCCGAATGTACGTGTTCATGCTGGATTGGAACACGG